TCAGAATGATGCAAGTTTCAAAGAGATTCCCCTTGCTTTGGTTGGTACTCCTAGCTGTCTGTGCATTGCATGCACTGGTAAAAAGAAGGGCTGGCCCGTGCATAGATTCGGAGATTTCACTCACTCCCATCCATCAGACCATCACCGATGGTTCTTGGACTCCGAATCATCACGTAACTACCGTTCCTTTCCTCCCACCCTTTTGCCTCTCAGGTCTCAAGTTTCAAACTTCCAATCTCCAACACGTACAAAGACCGTGGCTTTTTTTAGATCACATGCTGACATGCATGATTTCCTCTTACCTTTTTTTAGGGTATTTCTTCCAGCCTTTTGATTGAAGACCTCGAAAGTCGAAACTGACGCTATGTGCAGTACCTTAGATCACACGATCGATGGCACTAAATCATGATGGGAATCATCGCACAAACTCACAAATAACGAGGGTGGCTGAGAAAGATCATCACAGGTGCGCGAAAACGATCCGACCACTTGTCAAATTGTCATACGAGTTTTTTTATAGAGCAAAATAAGGAAGCTAATCTCTACGACAAGCTGCCGATGATGATGCTGTTGGACGACTAGGGTAATGGTGGTGTACTGGGTGACTGTTGCATGGCCGCAAGCAAGCTGCTGAGCTGCTGGGCCGCACCGTGCACCTGCTGATGCTGCTGTTGACCTGACGAGGATTTTTTTGCTGCCCATGCTGGGCCCTACTGCGCTCTGCCTCTGAGGACTCTGACGGCCTTTGCTCGGTTTTGTCCGTTCCCGTGTTCAAAAGCTGCGGTCTTTCCACGTTTAGGAGCTGACCCCAGCCCGTGCACAGAAAAGCCGCCTTTTCGCATGGCTCCCAATAGTTTTTACCATGCGATGCCGATGCGCCGTGCCATGCCCATGCAACTTTGAGTTTGAGTTTGAGCATTGCAGGGAGTCAGGATCATGCTCATGCCTGTGGTGGTAAATGTGCCAGGTGGTGCAGGCAGGAACAGAAGCAGCAGCAGGCTTTGCGCGTTTTAGGGCGTGTTTAGTTCGTGTTTTTGGCTTTGAATTCCAAAATTTGTATTTGGCAAAAAGTCCAATTATGAACTATTTAGGTTTAAAAGATTCGCTCACGATTTCTCGATTTCGTGTATCATTAGTTTTTTGCCTACATTTATATGGAAAGCGATTCGATGTGAGAAAAAAATTTTTGATTTTTGGGTGAAACTAAACGGGGCCTTAGTTTGGCCAAAATCTCAAAAAAAAATTGATCTACTATCACATCGAATGTTTTGACTATATATGGAGCATTAAATGTAATTAATTGCATGTTTTGAAATTGCACTATTTGCCAAATAAATTCATGTTTGAACACTATTTGCCAAATAAAAACGAACGTGCTACAGTAGCCCCAAATTCCAACTTTCTACAACTAAACACAGCCAAGTATATTGGCATCAGATGCCTGCCTGCAGTGCAATCCGCTCTCAAGTTGCACTGTATACACGGTACGTGGTGTGTGTGTGTACGCAAAGTGTACCCTCCTTGCAAGTTGTTACTCCATTCTATCGGGATGAAAAAAATGAGATATACGTCAGTGATGGCAGACGGACGACGGGCAATGTGTACAGTGAACTGGTAAATTTGTACTGTAGTAGTAGTAGTACTACTATACTCTAACCAGGTACACCAGTTCGTGGTAAAAACAGCAGCATGGAGCATGGGTCATGATACGCTACGATGCACTGCACGCGTTTGCCGGAGAAAAAGAAAAGAAAAAAGCACCATGGGATGGCCCATGGTGAAAACCGGAAAGAGATGGAAACGGAACCTTTTCCGCCGCAGATTCGGCCCCTGACGCTCGGCCTCAACTCAAAAAAACCCGCCAAAACGCAAGCCCTCCCGCCAAAACTTGGCGCCAAACGGCGCCGCCGATAGCCGGGGCATGGACATGTGCGGCGCCGGAAGGTTGGTCAAACGCCCACTCATTCCTCGCGTACCATCCCAATGATGCGGGCACCGCCGACGCGTGGGCCACCCTCCGGGCCCACGGTGACGACGGGTGCGGTGGGGTACGGCTCCCCGTATCTGTAGCCCTGGCCGCGAGCGCCACTTGCGTACCCCGCCTGGACGGTGGACGGAGCCGCCAGTGCGGTGGCCGGGCCCACGCGGAGGGTGGGATACTGGGATGGGCTGTCGCTGGGAGGGCTCCGCGCTCCGGCGCCGGACGCGGACGGAGCCCGAGGCGCTCGAGAAGCTAAAAGAAAGGAGGCGCTGCTGCTGCAGGCCTGACAGTGCCAGCACCCCCCCGTCCTCGTTCCACGGGTGCCTGATGCCTGTACTGTATCTCTTGGGCATCCGAGGAGAGGAGGGACAGCCCAGCAGCGTCTGCGTCGCGGCCAACTGTATGTACACGAGCTCTGTTGACTGTTGCACTGCTCCTCCTTGGGAAATACTTCTACAGTACTCCTACGTGTTCCGTGCTCGTATACAGTCGTGTAGTAGTGCTCGTGCACTCTCATCCAAATTCCTGTGGACGACATCTCTTGGTCGGCAGCAGCGATGAACTGAACTGGTCGATGTTCCTGTGTGATGGTGCCGAGCGACCTGCCTACAGTTTCATGAGTCGGCAAGCTGTGCAACGAGAGCAGCTGGAGTTTGTGTCATCATGTGGTGAGTGCACGCGCCGCGAGGCTCTTGTGCTAGTGCACCGATCGCCTCGGAGTGCGCGGAGTCCAGGGCAGCACTGGCGCCCGCGCCGCGTGAAAACGTTGCCAAAATTGCCGTGCGCCCCCCCGCGCCGGGCCACCACCGTGAGTCCGTGTCTTCGTGACCCACCCAGCCGGGCCACCACCACCGCCGCGCCTCCGACCAATCATCGGCCCATCCCCTGCAGAGGCCGGGGGCGGCCCAATAGCCGCGCACGTCCTTCGGGATTGGGATTCCCGGACGTGGTCACCGCGGAGAGGAGTAGGTCGACGACCACGATCGCGGGCACCGAGGAACTCGAGCTGACCGAAACTTGCCGGTGGAACCGAATCGCTCTGCCTGTGCCCTGTGGTGCCGCAGCAAGCAGACAAGCGCTGCCGCGGCGTCGGCGAGCAGCGGCCGATGGTTGGCTGCTCGCGCTCGCCGGCCCGCCCTGCAGGCCGCACAGCCGGTATCGCTGCGACGACGGACGGGCGAAACGCCACGGCGTTTTGTAACTCTCTGACGTGCCTGGGCCTGGCTGATGCTCTGAGGTCCGGCCTGCAGTGCATCCTTATCGTCCGAAGGGGAATTGATTCATCCGGCATCCGGGGTCCGGGCATCCGGCTGCCGCCGCTGCTGCGAGGGCCTGTTTGGTTAGAAACCCGGGGATGCCCGATAAAAAGTGACGCCTGGAAGTTGATGGTTTTTGGCTGGCGAGGCAATTCTGAATAAAAGATGTTTGGTTGGAGGCATGTGTCTGAGAATGTTAATAAGATGAGATATTCATAATATCAATGTGTTAACTGATGTTTGTGATATATAATTAGCATATAGCTTTTGCAGTTTTACTAAAAGAAATATTTGTATAAATATTTTAATTAGTTAAATAAATATAGATTTATTTATAAATCTAAAAATGTTATTTTAATTAGATTTATTTTAGATTATTAATTTAATAAAATAGAAATAAATATGTATTCATATTAAATTAATCCATAATGGTACATGTTTGCCTTAATAAAATAGCTAATGTACTTTTGTCTTAATTATAAGTAGCTAATACACGAGTAGTTAATAGCTAAAGCAATCAAATCAGTCATTGGAGTAGTACCGATCTAGGCAAAGAAGCAGCAGGAGCCAGGCGACCATTTTTCTATGCCCGAGTCCAGCAGAAGATGCCTGAGGCAGGCAACCCACAGCCAACCAAACAAGTGCCGGGCGCGACATTTTTCTCGCAGGTTCAATCAAACATGCCCCGAATGCGAATCCTATACTAGGACTGACTGAAAGTCTGAAACGACTGGCGCTGGCCAGACTTTCAGTGTACGAGTACGATGGAATATTGGCATCGTTCAAGGAATCGAGGTACCGGTTCAGACAACCGGAACTGAAACGCACTCGGGCACGAGAATCTTGCCTTGTTTAGATCCCATCAAAATTCCAAGTTTTTTCACTCTTTTTTCATCATATTAATTTTTAGACATATATATGGAGCATTAAATGTAGATAAAAAAAATAATTAATTACACAGTTTGGTTGTAAATCACGAGACGAATCTTTTGAGCCTAGTTAGTCCATGATCGGATAAAGTTTGTCAAATATAAACGAAACGTGCTACAATGTCCGGATTGCAAAAATTTACAATCTAAACAAGGCTAAAAAAAAAAAAGTGCTACTGCGTTCTATTGCCTCCGTCCTATAAACAAAGGCAATATAAGATTTTTTTAGGATATATTTGTACTATGAAACAAAATGACTTAGATACAGTACCTCTCAAAAAGACTAGCGAAACAGTGTCAAATAGCGCTCCACAATACTCATACATCGTGCTAGGATGTCTTTCTTCGTGCTTTATGGAACGGAGGGACTAGGGAATAGTACTCGATGGAGTACCATTTGGGGCAGTGAAGAATGATTGTGGTAACGTGTCAAAGTGTGTCATTGCAACGAATTTTCCATGCACGCCGTGATATTTGCTGTAAGCGGCACTCTGTCTCTAGCCTGAATTTTACAAACTTGGCGAAATGGGCCGTGCTATCTAAAAGTGTAGGCCGCGCGTGCTGTGGATTGGCTAACGTAAATGGGCTTTAATTGCAGAGCAATGTTTTGGGCTCAACATATTTTGCTAAGCTTGGGCCTCTATCTGGGCTTGAGACCAACGTCAACTCCAACCTATAGTCGGTTCCTCCGGCCCGCCAACGGCCGAACTCGCTCTCGGCTGCCTCCGCCGCTCCGCCCACGTCTCTCCGCACGGCCCAAAACCCCACCGCTGTCTCTCCGCCGGCTCCCCACTATGTTCCTCGCCGATCGCCGTGGGCCGTGCCGCCGCAACGATGGTGATGCTATCGGGCATCGGGGCCAGGAAGCCGCCTCCCTTCCTCGTCGTCCTCCTCCTCGTACTCCAAGCGCTCCCGCGCCATCCGGCGCCTCCCGTCACTGCCCAGGCCGCCTGTCGCGCCGCCGGCGCCGCACCCCGCCGGTAGGAGGAGGTGGAGGAAAGCGCCCGCCCGGCTGTGGATGAGGATGGATCGGTGGGGCCGGTGCGAGGTGTTCATGAGCGACAGGGCCTTCGTCGCGGAACGCTCCGGGGTGCACGCGCGCGACCTCCGCGTCGTCGGACCCCTTCTCTCCCGCTGCCCCAGCATCCTCGGTGAGCTGATGCTCTCAGATTTTGGCGATAGCAGTGACTTGCTAACTACTGAAGTCCTCGTACAGTGGCTCGTACTAGCATGTCGTGAAGTGTTTTTTTTTCATAGAAGTAATTTATAATGCCGTGAATCATATCTGCTACGGTGAGATTAACCTTAGACTTTGCTTGTTTTGCAGCTCGAGAGAAGGCCATGGTGATCAATCTAGAGTTCATAAGAGCTATTGTAACCGCTGATGAAGTCCTGCTGCTGGAACCTCTTGCTCAGGAGGTTATTCCTTTCATCGATAAATTGAGGCGGCATTTTCCATTGAAGAGCGTGGATGTTGATGTTGGTGCCACACAAGTGGGTAATGTGGATGGCAAGCATGCTAAAACTGGTGCAGAGTGTGGGCTCCCCTTTGAGTTTCAGGTGCTGGAGCTCGCCCTGAAGCTGTATGCTTGTCATTTCATTCCAGCCTAGCTGATCTTAATAGGCATGCCATTTTTGTGCTGGATGAGTTGACTAAGAATGTGCTGGATGAGTTCGAAGCCTCAAAAAAATCTAACCTCTCTGCTCGCTAGTGTGCACAAGGTATTGTTAGTTATACATATTTGGTCACTTTATGTTTCTTAAATCTTAAGTCTTACTCAGTTTAATGCTTATTGTTTGCCAATGAATGTCCGAGCAGTATTGTTTACTTGACTATCACTGTGCATGTAACTACAGAACTATATGGTATTCTTGTGAATTTCTGAAGAATAATAACATCCACGCATGGGTACCTGTTGCAGATTAGCTCTAGGAATTGCATTTGTAGACTGTGTTGATGTTATAAACATCATTTATTCATGGCTGAAGGACTATCCTCTTAATGAAATACGTGTCCAGTTGCACGTTCGTGAAAAAAAAATTCATGGCTGAAGGAAGTACATAAGCTATGGTTGAATCTTTGAAGCACAGAAAATAAAAACAACAGATCATCTGTCCATATATATATATCACATACTAGGCTTTCCCATCCTCCGCAAAGCTTCACAATCTGTGTTATAACGCTAAAACTTTGATGATAATTCCTATGATATCTGAAGCCACTTCCTTTTTCATTATATGTGATATCATTGTCTGAATATTTTTCAGGTCAGAGATGAAGTAGAGCATCTTTTGGATCATAATGAAAATATGGCACAACTACACCTATCAAGGAAGCAAATAAAAAGTCCGCAGGATGAAGCTCTACTGGTTTCTTCTGCTTTAAATTGCAATTTTCCTTCAAAAACAAACCTGGATATACGAAATTCTGTTATTAACCAAGCCACGGGCATTGCTGTGGTTGCGCCATTGGACGACGATGTAGGAGACCTAGAGATGCTACTTGAATCTTATTTCATGCAGCTGGATGGAATTCGCAACAGAATTATGATGGTTTGTTCTTCTCTCCCAAACCTGTATTGGATACACCATACTCGCCCCCGGCATTCTTTGATACTACAAATATGACAGTTCCTATCCTCATGTGGATAACTATTTTCTGGCATATTTAATAGGTCCGAGGATATATCGTTGACACAGAAGACTACATCAACATCCAACTTGACAACCAACGCAATGGACTTATTCAGCTCCATCTCATACTGATTATTGTATCCTTTGGCATATCCATCAACACGTTGATATCTGCATCGTTTGCCATCAACATGCCTCAAAATGGGGACTATAAGAAGTTTGTAGGTGCCTTTTGGCCATTTGTAGGGGGCACATCATCTTTCTGCTTGTTGGTCATCGTTGTTTTGTTGGGATATGCATGGAGGAACAGGCTACTCGGCAGTTGAGGTCAGCGTTAGATAAATCTAGAAAGGTTGTCTTCGCAATGCCTCATGACTTGAAGGAAACTGGCCTGGTATAGTATGGCTATACCCTAGTTGAGTAGGGGAAAGTCCCGCCTGGTCCATCCGTATATCATTGCTTTCCAGTCAAACTTTTTTTTTCGAAAGATCTCCAGTCAAACTTTTAGAGTTTGCATTTGGCATTCATAATGCAATACATGACATGTATGTATACCAACACTATCTACCATTGTTACAACATTGTCTCAATTCAAATTTACTATTTCTGTCTATTCGAGAGATGCAACAAAATTTTCTGTCATTTACACACTAGAACTCAATGTCTGATTCTTTAGAATGATGACATGAAAACATTTGATCATTAGCAGTATTTTGCTTTCTGCTTTTAGGATTACAACATTTTCTCTCTTTTCTCTTCTTTTTGCCTTATTCTGTTCTTCGTTTAGGTAACAAACATGTATCCATGTCTGGTTGTCTCTACATGGATATTCTATTGGCCTATTGCAATATCAGATTATCATAACATTGACTGCAGTTGCCAACAAAGACAAGGAAAATAAATTTCCTTTCTCTTACATTATTTTGACTTTATGAGGGGATGCTTCGTGTGATAATACTAAGAGTGGCTTAAAATCTCTGAAAACAATCAGAAAGAAGCAAACCCCAAGATATTGTAGCCACAAGTTAGAAACTGAGCCCAAGCTGCAGCCCTAGTGCCGCGTGGATTAGAAACAGAGTCATGATGCCACTGCCGAGCAGACCATGTGTAGTCCTAAGCCCTGGGTTTCCCTGGCATTACAAAAACCAAGTCACTCAGCCTATATCTAAATGTGAATCACCAGGCTTTGGAGGACTACAAATTGAATGACCAAAGCAAAATATTGAACTGGTGTGTGTGATGATTTGATATATCTTTCCAGGTTACCTCGAACAACTTTGGCAGGATAGACTGAATGGTAAGGAGTGCAAGGCCGATGACTCCAGTCACGGCATGAGGGCTGCAAACCCATTGCCAAAAGTTTGTAAGGCGACCCAACCTTTGTACATAGAAGAACAGTATGTATTCTGAGAGCAGAACCTTTCAAAGATGGGTTTGTCTGAGGTAAGAAGAGCTGTGATCCCACCGGTCGCACCCAGGGCGAAGAAAAAGAACATCCCTGCGAGGAGTTTTGGGTGGAGATCTTTGGCCTTGGCCTTCTCTTCCTGTATGCAAGTTACATGGCCGAAATTAAGAGTGTTGCTCTCTATGATGGAAGACAAAGTGCATAGTTACTGGTCTTGGGATTACAAGGTCGTCTGATAGTTTGATCCTGAAGCCCAGGTATGTCCCGTAGCCTCCCATTGCGAAGAGCACCACAGCCTGACAGAGAGGTACTGAAGGTTAAACATTGATTCATTGAACCAGACAGAATTTGATCCGAATATCGAATCCGGCACTGTGAGGTTTCAGTAACACGGTTGCTCTGGCTGCAGCAACAGAAATTGATCTTTCACACTGCTGATAAAAACATTGCAGCATTGGATGGATCTGTACTGGTGTCCTACTGGTTTGGGAACTTGAAGAAGGTGAGCTGTTCAGTACTGCACGAGCCATGTTCAGCTGCAGCTGTGGGTGGCGAGAAACGTACCATGTTGCCGGGGTGGCCCCAGTGCACGAGCCAACCGGGGAGGTCCCACGTCTTCACGAGCTCCACGAACGGCGCGAACACGGCCGTCACCGGCTCAGCTGCTCACACGTCAAACGAGACCGCCGGAGCCGGCAGAAAGAAGAACCAAGACATCAGCAACGACAACGACGGCCACCCGGAACACAAGCAGCGACAAGGCCGTACCTCCCGGCAGCAGCGCGGCGAGCAGCAGAGGGTAGGGCGCCAGCGAGTAGAGCCGCGTCCCAGCCGGCTGCCTCCGCTCGCCGTCGCTTCTTGCCGTAAGGCCCGGCTTCCGCTGGATGTTCGCTTGCAGTTGTGCACGTGGGGCTGGCAATGGCCGGCGGCTGGAGCTAGAAGGACGGGGTGGCAGGACCGCGCGCGGCCGGAGCAGCAGCGAGCTCGCCATCGTCGCCACCATCCTTCTTGCCACTCTACCTACTGCAGAGTGGAGAGGAGGGGAAAGGGGATGTGGGGAGCGTGGCGTGGAGACAGCCGGGCCAAGTGAAGTGAGGTGGGCACACGCGCGTGCTGTGACTGAGTGAACTTCACAAGGGACCTGCTCACCTGCACCAGGGCGGGAGGACAGGCAGCGCACGCCTCCGCCCCAGCAGCTCGATAAGCTTGAGGGATTACGATCTTTTATTTCCCTGTGTGTCGTTATAAAGAGATCGTGAATCATAATCTGCTCTTTCTGGAAAAATTCAACGACCTGCTCACCTGCACCAGGGCGGGAGGACAAAACGCAGCGCACGCCTCCGCCCCAGCATTTGATATGATTAATATATCTTCATCATATTTTTTGCGGAATTAAATGAAAATAAATTTTATATGAAAATTATATCGGCATTTGAAGTCGTTAAAATGATCCCCATCTTTTCAGTCTGGGCGCCTTGACCTCATAAGTCATCGCAAGGACACAGCCTACTTTATCGGGGCTGAAGTCTGGGCACCTCATTCATCGCAAGGAAACTTTATCGGGGAAGCAATTAAAACTAGGCCCTGCTCTGAATACATGAATTTCAAAGAACCAACCCAACAAAAATAAGTTTGACCAAGACAACCAATTTCAAGGGCTAATTCTGCTGTTGCTGGGTACAAATGGCCCCTTTATCTCCAGAGCTGTTAAAACTACCATCAACTCAAGATGTTAGGTGTTCAATCACCTCCAAAATCATTTTGCGCCAACTAGGAAAACATGGAAAAAATATTGCAGAGTGAAGCTTCTGCTCTAATACAAACCTCTGTATTTTCAATCCTCGGTGTGGAGTTGGCTCTAATGGAAACATTCCACAAAACAAGTCCAACTCCCTGACAATACTCCTTTGCCCAGGACTCTTACCAAAAAAAGGCTAAAATGGAGGGTTGTTCTAGGTATCGCTCCAAAGTTTATGTTCTTGGAGACAGTATCAGTATGTAACGCTTGTACTGTTTTACAGAAGGTGACTTAACTCATCTCAAGGCTTGAGCAATATGGCCACACCGATTCTTGAAGGCGCACTTACCACCTTTGGATCATACTCAGCTGAAAGAGTCACAAGGGACTTTGGCCTCCACTCATGCTGACAGAGAAGACCGACCTTCCCGGAGTTGCTGAATTGCGTCTTTAGCAATGTTGAAGGATCAAGGGCATGGGAGCTCCCAATTGTGAAATAGTTCTCCTTGGTTTTGAACTTGTGTGTTACCTCAGCTGCCACTGTAGCTCCATTGGTTGGATTGAACAAATGAATGTAAGATGCCTTCAAAGTCTCCCTTTTATCAGCCCTATTTATTAGTAAAAATGTGGAAAGATTAGTCAGTACACAGATAAAAGGGAGATCACTAAGAAAATATCATTCATTTGTTAAACTTGCAAAAAAACGGTAAGGACAACAAAACGAAAAAAGCATGCTACGATAGACCAAAGGTTTAACTGCTTACAAAATCACGCTCAATGCATAAATTTACATGCATGCCTGAACAAAAAGCATAAACTTGCGGAGCTTACAGTAGTAAGGAAGCAGAGAAATCGGACTTGTTGTATCCAATCCCTGAGTTGTACTTAGTAACAGCAGCTGAAGTACTGTCAAACCCAACCTCAGCACCAATGGTAAGTTCACTTGTGCCGACAGTTGCAGCCAGCTCAACCAAAGGTGTTGATGTCAAACCAATGGTCGAATTCAATGAAAAACGGTTGTGGGCATATTGCAGATCAAGCTGCCAGAAAAAAAAAAAGAAAAGAAATAAGTACTAGCAAAAAAAAAAGTATTTCAGTGAAATTTGGTGGGTTAAATTTAGATCATAAGCCATCGATGTAATTGATAAACACAGAATAAAAGGGCGTACCAAGTGCAGAGAGCTCCCGCTCTGTGCGGGGTCTGGGGAAGGGTATCAGTGGCAAGCCTTACCCTCGCCTGTGCAATGCGAGGAGACTGCGACTCGAACCCGGGACCTTCCGGTCATAGGCGGTAAGACTCTACCGCTTGCACCAGGCCCGCCCTTCTAATTGATAAACACATAATGCAAGTAAAATACAGCTCAGTTAAGACTTCCTGCACATATTGCACTGCTCATTTTCTGTATTCAAGTAAGCTAATGTTTCCTCCTTAACTTCCAAAAATACTAACCTTTCCAGACTTGTGATCTGGAACCTTGAAGGCGAATGAGGTCTTCAGACCAGTTAGCGCTTCATCAACAGTGACTGTGGTTGACACCTGCAACCAAGAGGACTCCAGTAAGAACACAAATACAGGATGTCCAATGTTAGTATGAGGGCCATAACTAAAGCAAAAGCGAATATGAAGCAGAAAAATATTATAGATGGGCAAGTGCAGCTAATAAAAATAATATAGCAATCCTCGTCTGTCTAAAACTCACATTCCAAAATCCACGTGTTCTTTAGGTCAGCAAAACATAGCCTAAAAATGGAAGGAGGCCTTATTAAATACATAGGAACTTTCAGATGCTTACCATTAGTTACACTCAACACTATATCTACCCACGGAATTTATGAGCCATGTACGTTCGCTACTTACTATAATCAATGCATGTATCCCCAGGATATAAGGTAAGTAACGTAATATTTCTTATGCCACGATATATTTACGTCTCATGCAGGATACTTAATTATAGCAGTGCCACAATTAGAAGCCCTGATCAGGCCCGGCCCTGGGGCAGGGCGAGCGGGGCACACGCTCCAGGCCCCTGACGCCAAGGGGCCCATTAGCGGCCAGCAGGTATGTGTTCTGTATACGTGTTTTATATAGTTGAGCAGAGGACGTCATAGCACCGTCCATCAATACTCGGATATTGCTTGTACTGGTAGATACGTGCTGGTTGCCGACTTGCCCTACTGCACTATAATCTATCTTTTAATCTTTCAATCTTTAGAACTGAGATTTGGGATCCACGAGTCATTTCTAGTGTTTATTGCAAGATCAACGATTGGCACAGCCAAAGGCCACAGCAAGCCTAATCGTATGAGGATGTTTATGTGATTCATTGAGCGTTTCCTCGTCATTAAGACATTAAGTTGCAGGTTTTTGCTCCGTTGTAAGTTGTTTTTAGTTCGTCTTAAGCCAAACTCTAACAAGCTTACAAATCTACTAAGTAAAAAATCTACTAAGTATTATTACTACTAGTACTATGTTTATGTTGAGAGGCCCTGCTTGCCAGTTTCGCTCCAGGTCTGTGAAAACTCAGGACCGGTGCTGGCCCTGATCCAGAAAACAAATAACCAATCCGACCAGGCTCGAAAAAAAAATCGAATGCAGAAAAGCAGAATTGACAAGAAGTCAAGAACCTTACTTTAGAATCACTATCAATTATGACATCAACAGTGGTTCTACCACTTTTATGCTGTGTCCGTATATCACCAATGAAGTCTTCATTGATCTTCACACCAGTGGCTGTGAGATTCTATGACAAAAGGCACAGGTTATCAGAAAAATAAATTCAAAGGGTTCCTGGAAGGAGCTAAAACAACAGGTGTGAGCTGTCTTACCAAACCAGAGCTGCTAGACGTCGACAAAGAAAACTTCTGGTCAAAGTTGTAGTCCTTGTACAGGAGATCTATAAGTACAGGAAGTATTAATACATAAAGTTTACTAGCACAGAAATCTGCCCATAAAATGTATATGTACTTGTCGTACCACATACCACAACAGATAAAGTAATCGCAACTATTCCCAATAAATATGAAATAACGTCCATTCTATAGTATGTTCAGTTATAGATAGAACTCTCACAGGATTGAATTTATGTTTATCTGTCCGTGTCTTCTCCACCAAAGAATACAGCGACAAAGTAACCGACAGTTTCTCTATGAATCTACACAATAAATCAAGGGAATAACTGGAAAAGAACTGAGTATTAGGCATCTAGTGATGATTATATAGATAGATTCTCTACTATCCAGCAGAGTTATTCAGTGCATTCTTATACCCAACCAGAACACAAATTATCAAGCCCACACTAGACATCGTTTGGTAAGTGCATTGAATGGCATGAGGCATGACGGTTGAAAACTAAGGCCTGTAAATACTGTTGAGAAGAAGGTGCTTGCCTTTTGCTCTCTTTCCAATGTTGACGAATGGGATTGGGCCTTTGCTCATCCTTCCCAAATGTAACAATCCTCAGGTGACCAATCTGTCAGAAAAAAACCAAGTGCACGTTAATACCATAACCAACTAACATAGTCAGAGGCGGCATAGTGAACTGTCTAGAGACTGAACCAATGATCCAGCACGATTCTTCAAAGCTAGCATCACCGACACACTACCAGTTGATTTTTGCTCGGAACAACCAGCAATTTTCAGTTCGAACAACATCTATCATTACTAGAGGCGGACAAAGGTAGAGTGGGTTCATCTGAATTAGAAGCACCAAAATTTCCAGAAAACACACTGCACCCGCACCTAAATCTGGTGGTAACAAGTGCTACGGCGCCAACCAGGGACGGACCCAATACAGGACATGGGTGTACGCATGTGATCGAGGCTAGTAGGCATGATATGTATACACTTGTACTTAGATCAGATCCGAATATATACAGATAGCCAAGCAGCTTAAACTAGGGTTCGGGTGCTCAGCTTTGCACAGCGGGAAGGGAGGAGAAGGGAGCGGGCATACCTGGTGTGGTGGGCGGTCGTCGCCGGCAAAGCGCCCGACGAAGACCTGGGCGGGCAGCTGGGCGTAGGGCGGCGGCGGTCGCCCTAGTCGCCGCACGCGAGGTGAACGGAGGAAGAAAAGCAAACAGGTTACAGCCTGGTGTGAACGCAGGAGAGCGATTCTTCGGGGGCTGTTGACAGCTAGCTTCTGCGCGCACGCTACTTGGTCTTGCAAAGCGCCCGCACGTTGACTACGGCCCATGAAACTGATTGATTCGTTGATTCCATTCTTTCTCCGTTTCCTTTATGAGTCCGTGACAGTTGGTTCTTCTTCTTTTTTCTTGCTCCTAACCGTTTTCGACTTTTCGTTATTAGGAGCACTCTTGTCATCAATATAATCGTCTTTGTTTTTCCTATATATCATCGAGTTTTTTCTCTTTTTTGTCACTAGTCTAGGAGTAAAGTTTGTTATTAGTTGTGTTCTTAATCATTTTTATAATATTTTTATTTTACATAAATATGCCATGAACACTCTTTGTAGCATTTTTTTATTATGATGTTGGAAGCTTTTCCCCATTTTTGTCAGCCTAGGAGTAAAAATTTGTTATTAGTTGAATCATTTTTATAGTATTTTTATTTTACGTAAATATGCCATGAGCACTTTTTGTAGCCTTTTTATTATGATGTTGGAACGTCTTTCTTGTGATATTGGAATGAATTTTCTCGTGATACTAGAATCAATTTCTCATAAACATAGGACATTTTCTTACGAAGCTGTGAGATTTTACTAGTGAACCTAGAAATTTTCTTCACGAAGGTGCGACATGTTTTTATTTTAAGTAGGAAACATTTTGTTTTTATAAGCTAGCACATTTTCCCGTGAAGGTAGAGCATTTTCTAGTTTTGTTTTTATATTTTATTTTAATGTAGAAATAAAAGTGCATATAGGCATAAGTGGGTTTTGGTGTACTGGATTACACCATGGTTAAGGGACTATCATATTTTGATGAGATTATGTGCAGGTGTTTAGCCCAAAGATGATTAATGTATTTGAGCCAATTGCGAGGATCCTCCTATTAATTATATTAAATCAAATTGTCATCCATTTAGCACACTCGATTTAACATAATTAACCAAACCATCCTAGAGTCGCACCATTTGTGCTATCTAGTATCCACTTTGCGCAGATTTGTTCATGATCCATTGCATATAGAGACATCAAATAGCTCACATAAGTTCTTACTTAGCAAAAGTATTAAAGCTACAACAACATTTGTTCAACACAACTTATAGTTCAATTCTCAAGTACCACAGTGTAAGTCTACATTAAACGATAAGTTTTACAATCATGCATGGCCTATGCCACACCATGAGCTACGCCTTCAAGTAGGCAACCGCTTACCTGATTCTCATGCGATGAAGATTACTTGGACATGAAAAGGTTGGCTAGGAAGCTTCTCCAAGGCGATGTTATACAATATGGGATGTATGCCCGGGGTCCGTGATGAGCAGTGCCGACGCCAGGTGCAGAGGCATTGGTCCTCGAAACTGCAGATGGGATCGACGGCCGCCGTCGGTTGTGGCATCGGAGATTGAATCGCAACGGCAACACAAGTGCAAACTTGAAATATTTTTTTAGTATATAAATTCCACAATCCAACTCCAAATCTTTGTTTGGTCTCATCGTAGTCCTGACGGGTTTAAGCTAGTCCCAATTGCCTAGTACTGTATGTAGCTTGCTACATTGTTGATTGTTCCAACGTCATTTTGTTTTCATTAATGATATATTACCGGCGTCCGTCCATTACTTCGGTTCGGACTCGGCTTATCCTTATCCACTCATCCGCATACTCCGCCTGCGTCGCCCGCCCACTCTGCGCTGCGCCCCGCTTCATGGATGGACTCTCACTGCGCCGCTGCCACCCGGCACCGCCGCCCCGCCCGCTTTGCGGACGGACCGGACTCGGCGGCCGGCCGCCCACCGACGCCGCTTCGCCCGGACTTCGCGCTTGCTATCGCGGCCGCGCTCCATCCGCCTGCCACATCCACTCCCGAGTCCGTGTCACCGCGAGCTCCGCACCGGCGACCTCCATATACTCTGTAGCATCAAGCTTCGTGCCACTGTCGAGCTACACGACGACGAGCTCCATTCGTCCAAGTAACAAGGTGACATTGCGCTAAAAAAGCATGTTGCAAACGTATGTTTCTAGTGTTTTAGTTGTTTCAGAGGTATGTTGCAAGGGTTTCATATGAATGTTGTAAAAGTAGATCAAGATGTTGCATATGTTGCAATGGTTATACACTTATGTTGCAAATGTCTGTTCCCAATATTTCATCTGTTTTTTCATACTAATGTTGCAAGTGTGTTTGTCTGGATGTTGCATATGTGTCACACATATGTTGCAATTGTTTTATCTGGACGTTGCGTATGTGTTTCAATGGTTTTCAAGTGTTCTCATGTGGTTTTTTGTAAGTGTTTCAGACACATATTTCAAATGTTTCATCTATCTTCAGACGTATATTGCAAGTGTTGTATATGGATGTTTCAAAAGTAGATAGAATGTTACATCTCCCTCATCGCCTTTTGCTGCCTCGCCTTGTGCCTCCTCTTCGCCTTCTACTGCCTTGCATCATTCTCATACTAGGGAGGGGGCGCGCCTGGGATGGTGGCGCGGACACGAGCGCGCGCTCCCCTTCCGTTACGCGGGGATGCTTTTGCTGGGATGCTCCCGTTGGAGGGCTTTAGACTAGGAGCTGAGCTACAGTTCAGTTGGCTGGAACTGGGAGCTACGTTCAGACGCTGCTGGCGCCGAACGTCCTGGCGCTAGTGCCTCCGGTTTGTTTTAGGAAACTTGATAGGTCTTGTGCTAATAGTAATATTTATGAAATATGTTTACAACTGTTAACACAAACATTACGAGATAATTAGGGAATAAATATCCAAACAGACGGTTTTCCGTAGTATTCAGATGTTCTTGCTTATCTGAAAATGTGTGTAGTGTGTAAAGATTTTTGCGCTAACCTTGCTCGGCTTTCATCCTCTGGCGACCATTTACCTGAAGGTAAAAGGTGAGGATCTACTAGTAATAGAGATGGAAGAGGGTTTATCTACCAATCCATAAATATGACATAATTTTGTGGGCTACTACCCGCTTGTATTTCTAACTAGTACTCCCACCATTCTAAATTCAAGATGTTTGGCTTTTCTAAATACACTATCTATTTAGAAAATCAAAACGTCTTATCATTTGAAACGTAGTAACTTCAAATTCCGGGCATGCAATGGGAATGCATGCAAGCTGGGTTGGAACTCGAGATTTCTGCAAAATGTACCCACAATGAGAGAGATGCTCATTGCTTATTACCCTGAAAGTGAAGGACATTGATCATCAGAAGAGAAGAAGCATTGGAATTTCTTTAGTTAATGGTATCTTCAGTAGGTTCAGATATGATTGCTTATTACCCTGAAAGACATTGATCATCAGAAGGAAAGAAGCATTGAAATTTCTTTAGTTATTATAATGGTATGTTCAGTAGGTTCAGATATGGGAAGAACTAATGCATGCAGCATGCCATTTTGGCCAAAAGCCCAAAAATGTAGCTTCAAGTGTATTTAATAAAAACTGTTTTTTCCTGGATCAGAACGTAAGACGGTATTACTGCTTCATCAAAGAATATATAACAATACAGAAAGAGTACCTTATTCTAAAAACACTTTCCGCAATGACACTGCAGTACTACAGTGGTCTACACAAAGCGAACAACGGGCACGGTTACTATCTCAGACTGAACTGTAACAGCTCTTCAATTGAAACTCTGAAAGGCCACCAGCGCGCTAAATCCCAGCACCCCTTATTCAGATATTCACCACTACTTGTGTATCTGAATTGTTTTCTGGCTGTTCCGCAGGGTATGCAGCCAAACTGCAAAAGGCTTCAGTGTCTAGTACAAGTGTACAACAGCAAATGTTACAAGAACAAAAACTGCTTGTGGGTTTGTAAAGCCCAAAGTTAAACTTTCAAAAGATCATGCCACAGCTCAGCTTGTGATGCATAATAACTTCCAGTAGCAAATTTTGCTTCTTATCTCAACCATATAAATTAT